TTAGGCGGTGGTACTGTGGTGGTTGGGTCGCTGTGGCGGTGGCGGTGATTGAAAATACCCAAAATGCGTTTTGAAAATTTTGATTTGATTATAACCGAAAACACCCAAAAGGATCGTTTTGAATTTTCTTTGTAAATTTTTAACTTGTTTTCAAAAACGCGTTTTTGAAAATAGGAAAGAGAACACATTTTCACTGTTTTGGAAAATCGAAAACAGAAAACGGCTTGAAAACGGTAAAGAGAATATGCCCTTATTTTTTCTCGATTCCCATTGTTTTTATTGTGGCTAGTTTATTTTAATGTTACTTTCTGAGTTGATTATATCTGCTTATGGAAATTAATGAAAGTCACATTAAGGCCAAAATGGAAGTTACGTTCAGTGAAATCAAAAGCAACACAGTAGCTACAATTGAGGCCACGTACGGGAAATATTGGTCATAACTGCTCAATAACTTCAAACGCAGTTGTGAAAATTTAAATCCAAGACAATGCACTAAAAGTAACATTCATTTAAAAATAAGGTCACATATCGAGAATTCAACTTCTCGAGCGAAAATTATAAATATCATCAACTGTTCAAAACTAATTTTTCAATCATAGCAGAATGCAATGGATGCCACACAACAAGAAAAAATGATACACCATCACTTGGGAACGGAAAGAACAAATTAGAGAGAATTTTTAGGGTATGTTTGATTGGAAAAAAATTCATGGAAAATGGCTCTTTTTCGCTCGGATTCCAACTTCTGAAGTATTTGATTTGATTGTCAATTTTTTTCTACGAATAATATTTTTTAACTTTTTGAGAAAAACATTTTTTAAGGGAGGTATGTTTTTGTTTTCCTCAAAATAAGGAAAATATTTTCTTTTTTAGGAAATATTTTTCATGTTAATCAAACATAACCTTAAGAGTAACATATTGTAGAGAAAATTGAAATATAATTTAAGATCACGTAGTTACTTTGAAATCTCGTTGTACATACCATTTTTTCCCCATGTTTATGTTGTTGCTAAAACTGGGTTTTGCAATTTGTTGACCGCGAACTTCATTGGTTCTTCTATTTGTGATTGGGCTGCTGACTTTGGGCCTTTAGCTTTGGTGGACTTATTTGGTGTTGCTAAGTTATTGGTGGGAATAGGTGTAAAATAAGTTGAGCTTTACGTCCTCGACGCTATAAAATACGAAAATTCCACATCGCTGGAAACAAACAAAATTCGAATTGTACGACAATTCCCACGCTATTAAGCCAATTTAATAGAGTGGGAAAGCTAATAAAATTCCTACATGTTAAATGGATCAAACGCGGACATCTCGAAGGGATTGATTCCCTGTTATGTTAGGCTCATGCATTGAGTGGAATGCCAAGTTACTCTAGCATTTCTTCCCAATTGACAAGGTGCATGCACAACCCATTATATTTTTGAATAAGAAACTTTATTTTCCTTTTTTTTTTCTGATTTATTTCTCTTCCTTTGATATTTAATTTATAGCAAGGGCATAACAGTCATTCCAATTATTTTTTTAGTTTTTAACCATCAAACTAATGGGTTCCGTTAGTGAGAATTCAATCTCACGTTCTTTATAATAAGTTGAGGAGTCAAAACCTCATTTTTAAAGATTAGACAATCGATCTCACGCTAGCTGAAAGATTTGGGAAACCGCCCTATTTTGGTAAATACATGAAAATAGCCAAAATAAAATGCCTTATTTCCACTTTGACCTTTGACTTTTCTTAACATTGGAAACTACCTAAAATGCCCCAAATATAAAAATTATAACCAAGAAATCATAGTATTAAGAAATTTTCATTTTTTAAGTCCTTATAAATACTTAAGATCAAAAAATTACAAGATTATTAAATATATTATCTCATTAAGTATCATTTAATTATAAATAAGGAAACCTGAATTCCATAAGATATGTAATATATATAAAAGATTACGATATAGATTAACTATTAGATTTTATATCCGTCTCATAAATCATAAATTAACAAAGGAACATATAATAGAATATTTAGAAAATACTGAGAATGTTTAAAGATTTCAAAAATCTCTTAAAAACCTACTAAGAAATAGGTCGTAAAATGGTATCTGAGCCATGTTACGAACCTAAAATAATGATAAATATAATTGACGAAGAAAATATAATTGTAGAATTTTTGAAAAAAGTTGAAAAATATAAGAAATCTAGTTATCCTTATTTACCTAAAAATAGTACAAATGAAAATTTTGAGGATATATACAAAAGATTAAAAAATCTAGAATATAATATACAAATAG